TATCAGAGGAGCTGTTAGGTGATCTGTAAATGACCCCTATGAGAAGGCTATCTTTGCCTTTTAGAGTAAGTTCGCACCACACTGATTCTCTAGCTGATTGATGCTCTGCAGATAACTTAACTTGCTGGGCCCCAGATGAGTTTCTAACCCACAGAGCTACACCTCTACTGCACTGCTCTTCATTGTTATGAAAACGACCAAAACCTGGCAACTGAAATTCAGCAGGTACAATTTTCCCCCCGTTAATTTTTCCCCCTTTCCCCCCCCCCCCATAATTTAAGGAACAGCGTTGAGTTCGGAGATTATGATGCCGACATGTTTAGTAGCATAATCACGAGTAGCATATGTAGTTTAGTAGCATATGTAACACGAGACGAAGTGCAAAGAAATCAGCAATTCTATGCGTCACTAATACGTAAAGTTTGAATGCGCATTTGTTGCGATGGTCAAAAATTACCCGATTTAGGCATGCAAATAGTGCAGCGTAGATCACAAAGCTTTGGAAACACTAATAATAATGGTACTGGTATAATGGTAATAATAACAGAAATAAAGCATGAAGCTCAGCTAATGCAGTACATAGACAAATGAATTCAACAGAGTTGAAACGTCGTGTACATGAAGATTATGTAGCACAAATTTCACGCAACACCATCGTTAATGCGTTTATCACATAGGTTGAAATACACAACGTGAAGGGAGCAGAACACAAATTTCAGGAAGCAAACTGCTGAATTGCTGAGCAGAGAGTATAAAAACTGATAGAAGTATAGATTAAACACAAAAAAACATTAAACAACGGCTACGACGTTGAGCACAAATGATAGCAACATATCAACCGGTTATTACGAAGTTCACTCAACCATATCAGATCAAAACTTCATGTCTCAGGTCATAAAAACAAAACTGGAACAGCTTTGAACAATAAGCTAACAGATAAGGTTCATACGTCTCAGGTCATAAAAACAAAACTAGAACAGCATTGAACAATAAGTTAACAGATAAGGTTCACGTCTCAGGTCATAAAAACGAAACTGGAACAGCATTAAACAATAAGGTTAACAGATAAGGTTCATGTATCAGGTCATAAAAACGAAACTGGAAGAGCATTGAACAATAAGGTTAACAGATAAGTTTCATGTCTCAGGTCATAAAAACGAAACTGGAACAGCACTAAACAATAAGGTTAATAAATAAGGTTCATATGTCTCAAGTCATAAAAACGAAACTGGAACAGCATTAAACAATAAGATTAATAGATAAGGTTCATATGTCTCAAGTCATAAAAAAACTGGAACAGCATTGAACAATAAGGTTAACAGCTAAGTTTCATGTCTCAGTCATAAAAACGAAACTGGAACAGCATTAAACAATAAGATTAATAGATAAGGTTCATATGTCTCAAGTCATAAAAACGAAACTGGAACAGCATTGAACAATAAGGTTAACAGCTAAGTTTCATGTCTCAGGTCATAAAAACGAAACTGGAACAGCACTAAACAATAAGGTTAATAGATAAGTTTCATATGTCTCAGGTCATAAAAACGAAACTGGAGCAGCATTGAACAATAAGGTTAACAGATAAGGTTCATGCCTCAGGCCATAAAAACAAAACTCGAACAGCATTAAACAATAAGGTTAACAGATAAGGTTCATATGTCTCAGGTCATAAAAACAGAACTGGAACAGCATTAAACAATAAGGTTAACAGATCCTATCAGTGCCGAGGTTAAGCATTGAACAATAAGGTTAACAGATCCTATGAGTGTCGGGGTTACGTAGCGCAGAAACAACTTGGTTTAGTGCGCCTCATGAAGAGGTCAAATCGATGCTCGAACGTGACACATAACAAGAGCCTCACTCCCTGGCTGTCCTAACTGCTCGTGGCCTCGATAGCTCCAACGTGCGACCTAAAACCAGGGCATTCCGTGAGTAGAATACTCCATGTGCCGGACACTCCATGTGCCGGACACTCGGACACTCCATGCGCCGGACACTCCATGCGCCGGACACTCCATGCGCCGGACACTCCATGCGCCGGACACTCCATGTGTAATTTTCATATTGGGAACTTGCGAACGTGGCTTTTGGTTCATCAACGCAGAGAATGGCTTAATTCTTTAGTCAAATTCTAAATTCTGTACGCGTTGACGACAATAAAGAAACAACCAGCTGCTTATCTTATAGAACAGCTGAAGTGGATATTGATGCCAATACCACAGCAGTGACTCAAAACTAATTTCAAGCACAATTTTTGGGCAACTATTTATTACAGCTAACGAGAAAGATTCTTAAAGCATTCTTATCATGCATTAAATCTTTCAGCTATCAAAACAGTAACAAAAATCTCATGCTGTCATAAATTCCACAGCCAATAGACTAGCATTCAGGAACATATACGATGGTGCAAATCGTCACACGACCAGAATTACCTGTAAAAAGTGTCTGTCAGTTATGATACTTTAATTTTAATTCATATCCATTATTGCACGCACTTTCGTTGCTAGGTTTTGATGGCTCCCGCACCAGAAAAAACTATTTGTTAATGGCAGTGCCGTTGCTACAGGAACGCACAAATTTTCGCTACTCGGGACGTCACTGGACGCAGTTTAGCAACTTCATTCACATCTGAATAATGCAATAAAAAAATCCTGGTTGCCGGAAAAATTCGTAAACTAAATTTCCAAAACGAAAGATCGCTCGAAAAATTGAAATGGACTAAGGACAGTAAGTGAAAGCCAGCTAACTAAACTACAGTCATACTAGGAAAGTCAATACGTACTATCAATAAAGACAGACAGGGGAGTACATTTAATATCGACAGTCAATAGAAAGGTCAGCAGCAGGCACCATTTGACTGTACAAGAGGTCACGTCACTAGCAGCTCGGTCAATGGCCGTAATGACCAAACGCTGTAGCAGTTCTGCATGGTGGGTTTAACCGGGGTGCGTGTGCAATGCGATGAGACGCCGCATTTAACCCTCTACCGCCGTATGTCACTCTCCTGGAAAATAACTTTTAACTTAAATTATACGTAAACTATTGAGTGTAGCAACCTGAGGACGTTTGTACGCAACAGAGAACATTTTAAAGTTGTCGTACGTGGCGGCAACCATCAGTGCAAGTCATTTTGCGCTCACTAGAACTCATCCTTTTTGGGAAGTAGGCGCTTGACAATATTGCTCCGGTTACTAATATTATTATTAATACTATATTATTATATTGTATTAGTAATATTGCTCCGGTTACTCGTGTCAGGCGGTAGAAGGTTAAAACTACATTAAGAGACGAGGAGACGATGAATTTATTATTTAGTGACTGTCGTGAATATGAAGTAAGTCAGCATTGTAGCAACAGGTATTTTATTGAGTATCGTAATTAGTGCGTTTATAACGTCAAGAACAATATTGAATAACAAGTTTAATTGCATATAAGTTAATGAATTCGCATTAATTTTCACATGGTTTAAACATAGGTGAATTAGAAGAAAATTGCATTACTACGTGACGCCGAACATTAGCAGAGATAGATCACGATTTGACACAACAATAATGGGAACAACAAAAACAACATGAATAAAAGAATTAAAAACTGTTATTGAATAATTAAAAACTTCAAAGTTTTACTCACTCCCTTAGTTGCCATTCTTCGAGAACTCATCGTGTAAGCTCGCCTCTGCAAAATAAAATTCGATTTAATAGTTTGAGATATTTCTTAATACAGTAATGCATAGTTTTTAATTTCATCTGAAATTTGAGATTTTTTCTTAATACAGTCATGCAATTTAAGAAAATAATTCCAAATATTACATTCGTTTTTCTTGAACTTTATATGTTTTTTTAGGAACATGAACAATAATCATGATTCATGATTCGCCAAAACAGTCAAGATTTTGATCAACACAGAATTTGATTTTTAAGATAAGATTAGAGGATGTGAAAAAAATACATAATTAAGTTTATAGAACAGAATATAAATTCTATTTGAAACAGGAAAATTCAGCTTCTGGAATACTCAACTTAAGAATATTCAATTTCCATTACATCAGTGCTCTAAATATTATATCTGCTCTGTTAAATTTATGGTAAGAACCTTCATTATATTCACAAATTGGAAAGATATCTACAGGAAAATCTGATATTTTGCTCATGATTTCTGGATGAAACACAAAGTGGAATTTTAATGTGATATTGTTCATGAATTTCACGCGTTGTGGAACTATTTATTGAAAAAATTTCGATTATAAATTAGCAATCACACAATAAAATAATTTTTTTGTGTTTATGTAGTATTATATATAATAAATTAAATTCTGCGCAAAATTCTAATCATAAACCAGTCAGGACGCAAGTGTGGTGTCGTGTTCGCGTGCAGAAGAGATGTACGTGGTGTGTATCTAAGGTATCAAGATCGCGGTGCCGCGGATATGCAAAAATGTTATTAAAAGGTATTTCCAATATATTTGGTATTCAAATCGTTATTGATTAGATACTACATTATCTTCTGTCTTAAGTAGCTGTGTGGTTCCTAAATGAATTATTACTCGTTTATAACTACCAGATTATTTTAAGTAGCTCTGTAGCTCGTTAATAACCTATTTCTTGTTTATAAATACCAGATTATTTGTTATTCAAATCTTTATCGGTATGATGTTGCATAACATTCTCACCTAAACAGTTCCGTCCGTGGCTCGTTAATAATGTGGCGCTTGTTTATAATTTTATTTAAATTCTATTCCCCAAAAATCAGTGGCATGTCACGTAAAGCGTTTACTTGAGCTGGGCATTTACTTTTCCCTGGAACGTACACGTGTTCTCTTTTAACATTGATTTATTCCGTTCAAATCTTGCCACGCGTATTTGTTATCTTTCATCTGGTCATTAGTTGTCTGATATTTTGATAGTCTCGTTTTTAATGCGCAAAAAAATTTCATTTACTGACTCGAACGTGGATTCGAATTGATACTTAAATGAAAAACTTCCTAAGGCGAACCCTTAAATTTTAGCTTAAATATTCTGCTTCTTCATTTTAATTAATTTAGTTCCCAAAGTTACCTTTTAATTAATTTATGTGATCAGATAATGTTTGTTATTACTGCCAGAGCAGATGACATTAACTATATTGTTATTCTCACTTTTATAATATTATGAAGCTATTAATTATAATAATATGATAAATACAGTATGTTAATATGATATCAACTATATTGTTATTCCTAAATAAAAATTATTTACAATCGATTCATGCGCAAGTTGGTCTAGGTTTCATAGTCATTCTTAGATTTTGATTTTTAACAAACAAATAATTGTGACTAGTTTAATTTTTATATGAAATCCATTTTCCCCTGTGACAACAATTATAATATTTAAATAGTTTGACTTTTGGCGCAAAATTTTGCGAAATTCACTAGTTAAATATTCATGGTCAGGTACAAATAAGAATTAAAACTTCGGATGAGGATCCGAGATGGACTTGCTCATACCCACGTGCCCAGAAACTTTACCAGTCATCCAACTTCCAGAGCAAGCCTACAAACAACCAAACTTTTACAGTACAAACGTATGGTGCTTCTTTCTAAAGCTAATCATCTTATTATTGACAATTGATCCTAAGATTTTATTATTATTATTATTATTATTATTATTATTATTATTATTATTATTATTATTATTATTATTATGGACAATTGATCCTTTCGAAACCAAGACTGGATTATAAAATCCTCCACTCCTATAAAATCTCGCACTCCTTACTACTTAAGAGTTCTTATTGAACTTTGTGAATAATTGGGTTGATAGTATGAAAAAGCTTATAACTCTTTCACTAACCAATTTTTCGCTTGTCATGAGTCTATTCATTAATAATCCGATACTATCAAAAGTTTTACGAATAAAAAATTTTACAAATTTTCTTCTATCGCGCCTTGCCAGTCAGCCAAAAAGAGAAATTATACACTAATTAGTAAAATTTTGCCATGTTAGCTGATTTTATTATATGTTAACTTCCATGGTCAGGTCAATAAAACTTTCGTGTCGCTGTATAAATGTTTCGGACGTGAATCATGGCTAGAGAATATGCATAAAATTCGCTGTGAAGTTCGCAAATGCGGTGAACAATTTGAAGACAGTGGAGGCTTGAAGACACAAGGAAGAAAGCTCAACTAGTCGCTATAACTGCTGTAAAGTTTGTCTTATGTAGAAGCCTACTTGCAAGGACCAGTAGATAGACGAAGGAAATGAAACCCCTTTAAATAAAGATGAACATATATCAAAATTTAGCAGTGTGGAATCACTACAGATTTATTACGTTCAACTCACCAGCGCCAATGAAGTAAAGACGAGGGTGACCTCGAGTAGGAGTGAGGGCGGAACGGCAACTGTTGATCAGCTGAGAGAGAAGAGCAGACAAACACACGCCGGATATCGCTTCACCAGACGAACTGACCGAGCCGCTGCTAACTCACCACTGGGCACTGACTGACTGGCTCGCGGAATTACCGAAAATTTACTGATGGCTCGACTACCTTCAACATTCTGACCCTTTGTCGGGCTGCTACAGTCAGAGGTTCGGTGTTGCGGAGAAATTCCCTTCGACCCAATGGGTGTAAGTCAGGTATTATTAGTTAATTCCTGGTTTAATACAAACCGATATGCTCCACTAATATACATTAACATGAAGATTAGGGTAGTTCGAATGAGGGGAGTTGTTAAAATTATTTCATGAGGGTAGTCAAATTTTTTATGTTCCAGCAGCTAAAATAGCATCTGAGATCAAAAGCTGTTAGGGGCAAATAAGAACCCGAAACTTATTGGAAGCGTTAGGGCAATTAAATAGCTTCTTTATTTAAATTACATATCTATCAACAGACGCCTGGTCATGCAAAGAAAGATTAGCTATCTGCTCAAGTCTCGTGAAAAGCATCGCGCTTGCAATGAGGTCAGTACCATGGCTTCAAACTTTCACTTATTTATTGTGTTCTGTATTGCTTCTGTTTATACATGAGAGTTTAAGCGTTTGTTTAAATGCTCACATTCCTTGCATGGAAAAACCACGAATTAAGATATTTAGAAATCAAACAAGTTTTTCGGTACAGGCTTCTATGATATTTCCTTTAAACTTACAGTATATTCAATTTTTTACACAATTGGAGTCAGTGTATCGAGCGGAAAACCAACAGCAACGTAAAATGTTATCTATGTATCCTTGAATTGCAGATCTACAAGGCCACATAGAAAAATTTATTTCACTGATTTTTTTTTAATTTTGAATGTATTTTCCGAGGTTCTGTTATCACAAAACACTAAAGGCAGATGTTATACCGTAGTATATGATCAGCAAAATTCTCAGAAGAATAAGTCAGGCCAATAAAAGGGACCTGCAATTGATTTGCATGCTCACTGTCGTGATTTGTGACAGACCAGCGCCTTGGAATTAAGTGTGCTGCAGAATTAACAGTCGATGTAGTCTTTTCTGCAGGGCCACAGTTATTTCACATACACAAGGCGACAGTTACAGCTTACTGTCATTGTTTTCATTGCACTATCAGGTATCAATTAACATCCGTAGGCACAATTTATGTAATTTATTCGAAAATATAAGTTCACATACATTGGGTTTCCAAATTAAGAATTACGACCGGAAGGAAGTATTATACATTCAGGTAGCTTGAAGGTTACCTGAACGGGAGCGCAGCCGTGCACCATCAATTTTGTGCACCAATAAGCCCTGAATGGAACGCCTTGGATCTCTCCGGACATCGACCAATCAGCCGAGAACCACTCGGCTATGTCCTCCTCCGGCCTTGCATAAAACCTGCCGTGCACCACCAGGCCGCGGATCGAATAGGACTTCCGGGCATCGTTAAATTACGTAATTTTACTTTCACCGCATCTGAGGTTAGGTTCAGATAGCATAGTTCTGTTCCAAAATTTATTGTCCTTCGACGAGTGGCCGTTCGACCGAGGGCTGGTTCGACGCACGGCCTAGCTATGATAGCCCAGAAGTGTTGAAGGCTACGTTCCGGAAGGCAGAAATCATGATGGTCCATTACATCCAGGGCAGTGGTGGTCATCGGCAGGCGACCCGTCCAGAACCAGTCTAAATTTGAAAGATTGACCGAAAGACAGGCCGCGAGTTTGGCCGTATATTTGTCCGAGACGTGTTCCATCTGGCCAGCAAGATGTCTCATGGTTCACCATAATGTGTACAAAAATCGAGCATGGTGTTCAATTCTTGCTACTCATGAACCAAAAACAGTAAATGGGCGTGACCCATGGTTGAACTAATATAAGGTTGACCCAAGGCGATGACGATTTTTCGCCGTTCTGCGCATTTCTAGAGTGACGTCACTGTGGGGACAAAATGTAAATAAAGTAATCAACATATTTTTTTTATGTCATCTTTGAAAGCATTTTAAAAAATTGACCTCATCAAAATGCCCCGGAAAATTTATTTACTGCATGCTACTAGTCTTATATTAAGCAAAACCGATGTTAAAAATAAGTTTGACGTCACGAAGTGGCGTTACAAGAGCCAAGGTGACGTCACAGTTGGAATAACAAATGACATCCGCACGGTGCAACTGCACTATGGAAAACCTTGTATTAGTTCAACCATGTAAAAAATTGACTTCATTGAAATGGCCCAAAAAATTTATTTATAGCAACTAATCTTATTGTAAGCAAAACAGGTGTTACAAATCAGTTTGAATCACACAGCGACCTCACAAGTTGACGTCACAACGACCAAGGTGACATCACGGGTGGAATAACAAATGACATCAGCAAGGCGCAGCTACGCATGGGTCAACCTTGAATTAGTTCAACCATGGGCGTGACCGGCTCGCGTAGGTTTCAGAAAGCTTGATCTTGGCCTTCGGTGAAAAAGTTTAGTAGCCCCAGCCCTATAAGTGGCCTCCAGATTATGCTGGAGTGGACCAGGATAATCTGACTTGTTTTTCCTCTTTGCTCAGATGCCCGTTCTATGCTGCGGTCACGCTTTAGCAGATTATAGGACTTGAATTGGGTTTGTGCATTGGCTTTTGTATTGAAGGGCCATTATATTACTTCTAATTTAGTTGTTGTGAGGGTAAGCTCGCTTAATATTACATTTCCCGCAAAAGTGTCAAGTTAAGTCAAGCGCGCTGGAAGATTAGTCCACTGCTTGTCGAGCCCTGACTTCGCGCGCATCTTGTACGCTCTTCGTTTCCAGTCAGCGTTGCTTTGCTGTACAGCGGTTTGCAAAGGTAAGCGGCGTCATGTGAATTAATACTTGTATTTTTGTAATTGTTGTCTTGGCCATTCTATACTGAAATTGTCACTTGTGTGTAATTGGTTTAGGCGGGGGTGCAATTATGGATGAGAATTAGATGTAACTTGCTAGCCATGTCTGACTAAAATTGCTTCCGTTTACCAGCTAGTCATTTCGCTAGTCGGTCATGTTTTTCTATTAGTCTATATTTTGTCAGCACCCCAACAGTCTGCTCGCTTCAATACATAGCGCGGCAGCACCACCAGTAGCCTTATGCTGACCATGTCCCTTTTATTTAAGGTACGCCGGTGGGCCTGCGAGGTTTCCCTGACCAGCTTTCTTCCGGAGCCATTACATTGTTCTAGTTCTTTCTAGAAATTGTCACCACGACGTGCCTGCTTCACTCGTGGCTTGCTTCGCCACGTCACCGTCAGGGGCCACTTCAACCTCGGGAATCTTAATCTTGCTCTAAGTTCAGTGGGGCACGTATGAGTGCTTCCGTACCGCGTGTTGGTGTGAGAGCCCGTGAGAAGCAGACTGTTAGGACCGTAGACTGTTCAGCCTAGTATTCACTGTCAACGATGTGATTCCGTCTAGTATTCACGGTCATCATTTGTTTCTAATTTAGTTGAAAGCTTTTTTTAGATACCTCAGGTGTCTAACCTTAAGCAAGTTAACCGATCACAAACTTCCAAAATTGTAGTTATTTCTATTCTCACTTATAATTGGTAAACAAAAATGAAAATATCCTTCCTTCTGACTACGGCCTTAGAGCTTAGAGGTTGCCCCGACAGTTGTGTAATTGTAAGATTTATGAGTTGTGCCCACTGTCACTAGCGTTCAAACCCGTCGTTTTCGTGGTAAAATAAGTCTAAAACGGATAACAATTAGAATTTATTAACCCAAAATACGCACTTCATTTAGCAACAGACGTTATCCAAACGGGGCCGAGAGATTTCATTAGCAGTGGCAATGGCGTGATACTGTGGTAATTGTTCAAACGTTGTTTATTAGATTTCTTGTAAGCGTAATGAAGTGATTCAAACTAATATTCTACAATAAAAAAGTGATTCCAAGTTTCAAACCAACATTAATGTAACGAGACATATATTTCCTTTGTTGCGGTGTCACCCAATTGAATCCGGATTCCGTAAATAGCGGTTGCGTTTAAATTTCAAGGCAAATTAGAATTAGAATATGTAGTGGCGCTGGCGCAATGGATGCTTAAATTTTGGTAGTTGCGAGTTAATAGTTTTTTTGCGTTAAGGATCCTACTGTTTGCAATCTTTAAGTAAGAACTGCTATATGTAAAGTATAAGTCATAGAGAAGAGTAGGTAGTACAGCAATTGACTGTGGTCGGAACAGTGGAACTTGGAAGTGTGGAACTGTGCGAGGGCAAGTTTAACTGTTGAAATTTGTCTACTTCACTACTTGACTACCTTCTAGAGTATTGAGTTATTAATGAGGCTGAAAATTGAAGTTGGTTTATTGATGAGCTTATAATAGGTAACTTTTGTGAATATGAATGATGATTGATGTCATTTGATGAATAGGTAGCTAGCTGACAATTAGAATAGGTATTATAATTATTATTGAATGCCCAATGGGCTAATCATAGAATTAGGAAAAACTGCAGAAGGCAGAACAGAACTTAAAGTTACTGTCTTGGCAGTCTTGCTCTGAAATCTGAATCTTGTGTTTAGTGTGCAGTGCCTGTGCACTGTGCATCATCATCCATCATGCATGGAGAAGTCTTCTTGGGCTCTACCCGGCTCTTGGCACTTGGCACTCATGGCAGCGTAGCTAATAAGCTACCTACTACCTACTACCTAGCCTAATCACAGTAGTTGTAATTTGTAAATTGTAATTACTTTATCATTTTATGAAGTTTAGTTCATTGCAGTCAATTTATGAGACAAATATTTAACTAACTAATACTTATTATAATTATAATTGTTGAGACTTGAGTGAAAGCTGCACTGCTGCCATGGTCAGGATTAGCCTCAGGAAGATGTGCCAGGTGCAAGCAGCAAGGGAATTTAAATTGTCTTTTAACAAACCTGCATGCTGTGCCAGCATAGTGGCAAAGCAGAGAGTTTTTTTAGACTCTCCCTCAAGTTCATTTTTGAGTCCTATAAGTAGACCAGTAAAGTATCATGGATACCAGTACCACTCATATGGTCATACCAGCATTATCTTACATAAGAAATTGG